GGAGCACGGACTGTAGGCCTTTTATTAGGCATTTTGAATGTTGTATTAGTGAACTCCACTCTGTCTGTGGGCTTGTTAGAGCCATTTGCGTTGCACAACCCCATCACGCAGAGGCTATATCCATATCAATAAATGAAACAAAACTAAATATTGATTGATTGATTGAGGCTATAACCTGTCCTGAGTGAAACAGCCAAGGGGTCCCAAATGGTCAAGACTATCTATAGACTATTCTTATTGCCAGATCTGTTTTCCCCATCAGCCACTGCACCTGCTTCTTCACCTATTTTGTTGAACATTTATTTAGAGGCCTGTGAGCTGGGCTCTCTTTAAGGGGAGCTCTATAATAAAGACAGTTATAAAACACAAAAAGTTCTAAAATTATTCTGCAAGACACGAGTACCCACAATGATAGCCTAAATTGCAATGCCTACAAGAATGCCCTATTTATTTTGGGGGGAGGCCTAAATTAAATATCGAATTATTGAAGTGATCGGCTAAAGCACTTGAATTTAGATCATTTTGAATACACACATGGATTTCAATAAACAAATGGATAAGACTGCTCTATTCTCTTTGATTTTGTTCCTATTGCAACTCAGAGAAATGACAGAATGGATGACATACTGACTGACTGAACTGAATGAAGCATGAATTAAATGTTGGAATGATGAGTTGCAGGCATCATGCTCTGCACTTTATTTGTCTAGTAGGTAAATAGGCCTACATGAGGGTATAATGACTAGGGCTGTATGCCTCCAGAAGGGCATCTTCTGAGGCTGAGGGGTGCTTTTCCGAAGGCGCGTGGTGCTGTGGTGCTGCTTGGAGATCACAAGCTCTTCAACTGGGCAGCGGCGTCCCGATGCAGGGACTAGCTTTTATGGAGACCACCTAAGACCACTGGAACAGAGTCATTGTAGTGTGGGAATAAGCTTATGCCAGACTTAAAAAAAAAAAAAAATTCATTAGAACCCCTCCTACAGAATATGCTTTGGCAAGATTGAGTGATTGACATTTATTTCATGTTCAATAAAAAAACTATTTTGAGTGGCAAAAACTTCAGTGGTCATACATAATTCATAGATTCACCAAACATCTATTATTATTCTGTTTCATTATTTCAGGTAGATACTACTGGTTATGATTGCAGACAGAGCCCAGAGAATGGGAGGGTGCAATACTGAATGAGTCCTATGTTGATACGGTGCATGCATGGGGATGTCCACGTCAACCCAGAGATACGCCCATGCTGTAGAGATACACCTAGCGGACTGAAACTTCACTGATGTTGGCATAATACAGCTAGTGCTATCTAGACTTGTGCTGGTAAACAAATCCATTACATTAGCTACCTAAATGTGAAGAAAACTAATCTGAGGAGTAATGGAGTATAGAGACTTTTACTTAAACGTTCAGGATACCTCTTTCCGGTTTCCCTGACTTCCGGTTGTTATACTGTTATGCGTGTTCTCGTAGCACTCCTCACAGGCCGTTTTGTATACTTTTTTTTTGGGTGGTGAGATGAAACTGCCAAAACTCTGAAAGGTATTATTGTACGTCAGAATTGCAACAAGATTTGTTAAAGTCTAAAATGTTAGTCCGTTATCGTAACATGGTGTTTGTATGTTCACATATGAAATTTAAAGTTTACATTTCATGTTTCACGCATGGCTTTTCTTAAGATCCTAACAATACATACGTTCAACCTTTTGCCAGCTGTCTGGCTCCATGCCTCCCGTCTGCAGACACTCTACATGACAAAACATTGTACATCTCACACTGCAATGGCCTGGATACGAAAGCTCTGACAGGGTAGTAGCTTAAACATATCCCAGCTGCACATCGAAAAACAGAACAGAATAATTATTCTCCTTCCTTCCATTTACCACACGATTCATCCTACAAATATCGACCACTCCATTTCAATGCCAACATCTTCCCACACTCCATAAATGAGTATTTTGACATGTGCCCTGCTCCGTAGCTCAAAAAAACGACACAGGATAACAATTAACTCGAGTGAGGCCAACAAACGTTCCGTCTGATCAGCAGAAACACACGAAACCAATACAAGCTCACTCCTCATGTATTTAACTAACTACTTTACCAAAGGCTTTTTTTCACCATTTTCCAGCAAAATCGGGCACTGATTCACTGAGATTTAATAAGAACAGCACCAATACTCCCAGAAAACGAACTCCTACCAGATACAATGGGGGTAATATCAACACTATACGTTTCCTTTCCCACAATATGTTTACTTATTTTTCCATCCTTTTGGACAAAAGTCCATTCAGCCTTATTTTTTCACCGCCATCAGATTCAAGCTCCTTCCCCCCGAAACAGCGCCGCCTGCTGGAGGAGCCAGATTCTGGCCCCAGGTGTCCCTCTCGCCACGCCTCTTCCGCTCTGCTCGCACCGGATATGACGTGGTTCTTGACCTTCGCTTTGGCTCAAATCAGTCTCATGTAGCTGCAAGCCACATTCTTCTAAAAGTAGTAGAAAAATGTACTTATTTCCACTGTAAATGGTGTTGCTTAACGAGGTAATTGCCGTTTTTACCTTTTTATATTCAAGCGGAAATATGTAGATTTTTTTTGTCATGAAAATGGGTCAAGTTATGTAGTTAAGTAAGTCATGGCGTTGACTCCCACGCTATGCTAAGCTAACTAGCTCGTTACCTGTCAAACTGTCACTAACGATGTCCTTAGTAGAACTGAGTTGCATATCGAGCGGTATATGGACAGGTAAACGTTGTTAGCTTAGTTAACGTTAACTATGGTTAGTACGCAGGTTACTGCTTTAATTTCACTACATTTGATAGACAGCTGTCATTTAAAGCACATCATTCCACTTTCTATGCTTATCTAGGAGTTTCGTTTTTTAGTGCAGCCTAATTTCACGATTGATTGGGCGAATGTGCATGTCATTGAAAATGTACTAGCTAATTTGAGCTTACTCACGTGTACTGTTCTTCTAACAGGTAACGTTATTTGCCAAAGTGTACATAAAGTAATCTTTTTACGGAACAATGGTGAAGTACTTTGCCTGCGTGGGTCTTCTGAAAAGTTCCTGGGACCAAGTTTGCATCGCTTTCTGGGAGCGATACCCCAACCCCTACAGGTAAGACAGATACCCTAGCCTAATATTGGACTAAAGGAGCCTAACGTTACTCCTTAGTCCAGCGTTCCCCAAACTCGGCCCTGGGGGGACCCTAAGGCGTGCACGTTTTGGTTTTTGCCCCAGCACTACACAGCTGATTCAAATAATCAAAGCTTAATGATGAGTTCATTTATTTGAATCAGCTGTGTAGTACTAGGGCAAAACCCAAAATGTGCACCCCTTGGGGTTTGGGAAATGCTGCCTTCGTCCAAGGACCTTACATGTTCTGTTTAATGGTGAATTGGCTCTGGAAGCCAAAACAGACAAATACTCAATTTAAACGTGAATCGATTCTCAGTTGCGGTACAGTTCTAGAAACATAAAGCCCTCTACTTTCATATCACATCAAAATAATTTAACAAATGCAAAATGCACATTTACTGTAGCAAAGTGTACACCGTTGCAGCCAACAGTATTTTCCAGTGACGATACGTTAATGGCGTCAGTCTTCGGTTTACACACAGGTGTTGGGAGAGCAGAGAACTAATTAGCACAGGAAGTCCCCTCTGTCTTCAGTCTGTAAACAAGCTCTGTAACATGGAAATATTTTTGTGTGGGAACCCTAACCCTATAAAGGTGTGTATCAATTTATGCTTCCAAAACCGTACCGCAAGCGATGCGTGTTAATGTCAAGACCGACTGTTTTGGCTCTAAACAAAACTATTAAGCCGACTTCCAGAACGCTGGTCTATATAATGATCTGTAGGTTTGTATTTCCGGGGTGTATTTTCACGGTTACGTTCGGCTATTGTTTACGTAGTGAGCATCACGTGCGAATGCATCAAGAGATTGAAAATAGAAGCCTATAGAACCATGTAACTACCGGCTCTCTAAAAGTCAGGAAAACAATCCTTTCTAGTGGCTGAAGGACCAACGGCAGGTACCTCGATCAGACAACTTCAAATGGAATTTTATTCAACATCCTGGCTTGTAAGGAACACTTCCAACAATTGTTTTGAGATAAGTTTCAGGCTGTATATCAAGCATTGGTATAAAAGTCTGATTTTAATTAGGCAACACCAACCCTTACAGGTAAGATGGTGTGAATGGACCCTTTCACCTTCCACCTACACTAACCCTCTTACCGTGACTAGGCTATACTATAAATAGTCCTAGACTAACCCTCTTAACGTGACTAGGCTATACTATAAATAGTCCTAGACTAACCCTCTTAACGTGACTAGGCTATACTATAAATAGTCCTAGACTAACCCTCTTAACGTGACTAGGCTATACTATAAATAGTCCTAGACTAACCCTCTTACCGTGACTAGGCTATACTATAAATAGTCCTAGACTAACCCTCTTAACGTGACTAGGCTATACTATAAATAGTCCTAGACTAACCCTCTTAACGTGACTAGGCTATACTATAAATAGTCCTAGACTAACCCTCTTAACGTGACTAGGCTATACTATAAATAGTCCTAGACTAACCCTCTTAACGTGACTAGGCTACACTAATAAATAGACAAGGTCATTATCTAGCTCAATTGCTGGAAGTCTCCCGATACTGGAACATGAAAAACGGTTTGGTACAGTGGAGGCTGGTGAGGGGAGGACGGCTCATAGTAATGGCTGGAATCGAGTCAATGGAATGACGGGGCAGCGCCATTGAGACAGATGCAACGTTGCGACCTCTAATCTTGCAGTATCCCTTTTTAAGCTGTAAAGTCTCTCTGAATCATACCTAATTCACCCCTCCCATCTCCCCAGCATGTCTCTTACTGTAATACAATATTACAATGAACTCCCATCTCCTCTCTCGCTCCAAAGTCTCTGATACAGTTTTTACAATTCAATCATCTCTTCCCTCCCGCTTTCTCCCTCCCCACAGTAACCATGTGCTAACGGAGGACATCATCTTCAGGGAGGTAACTCCCGGTAACCGTCTGGTCTCTAGACGACTGCTGACCAAAACGAACCGCGCCCCTCGCTGGATGGAGAAGTACCTGCCGGTTACCATGGCGAGGCACGCCTACATCATCGAGGATTCCATCGTGGACCCTCAGAACAGAACCATGACAACGCTGACTTGGAACATCAGCCACGCACGCATGATGGTACGTGTGACCCCACTGGGATTCAAACCGTGACAGTGTTAGCCCGCTGAGCTAACGCCTAGGTATTAACACGCATCATGGTATGTGTGACTGCCCGGGGTTTGAACCTGGGTCTCCTGTTGGTCTGTGACTGTGTTAGCCCGCTAAGCTAAAGCCTAGGCATTAGCTCAGTGAGCCAACGCAAGTCTTCATCTTTCAATCTGAATCTATTAGAATTTGAGCAGTATTTATCTGGTGGGAGTTCCCCTGAAGTCACTATGAAGACATAAACCAGCTCTTAATAACTCTGTACATCTCCAGTTCTTAAATCACATTATAGACTCCATTGCTGTGTATATACTATACGGTAGTCATAATAAGGTCTTGTTATGTTTTGATTCCCCTGTCAGTCTGTGGAGGAGCGTTGTGAGTACAGAATTAACCCTGACAACACCAGCTGGACGGAGATTAACAGAGAGGCCTGGATCTCGTCCAACCTCTACGGGCTCTCCAGAGCTATACAGGTGTGTGCAGTTCGAAACCCACCCCGCCAGGGGGAAGTGGTACTGGAAGCCTGGGGTCCCTAGAAAGTCCCTGACTTGACAATCTTTCCACTGCCATCTATGAGTTACAGGAAGGACTGTCGTAAATGAACCACAAGCTGGCAGTTTGCCTCGTTCAGCCTGTGTAGAAGTTGTTGAATGATTTCCTGTCCTGGTATCTGACTTTGATAAACCCTCAGCTGTTGTGTTGGCTAATTTAACTGCCCAGTTGGGTTTACTGGGCTTTGTGATGGTATGGCAGATGGGGAGTGTTGGTCCTGTTGTGTGGTATGACTGTGGTGACGAGTTATGGTATGACAGAATAGCCTGGTCCCAGAGCGGAACAATGACTATAGGAGTTGGTAAGACGGAGCAAACCGATCTGGAACCAGTGTAATGTTAGTTATTGTTGTGTGGTATGACTGGCAGTGATGTTAGCGTGGACATGTTCTTCTGTGTCTCAACAGATCCCTGTTAGTGATAACTTTCATTCATCTCTGGCCTCACTTCACAGGAATTCGGCCTTGCCCGGTTCAAGACCAGTGTTACAAAGACCATGAAAGGGTTTGAATACGTCCTGGCCAAAATGCAAGGTAAGATGGATGGCAGTAGTTTTATTACGCTGTAAAATAAGGTGGGCCGATCAATTCAGGTCCTTATTATTAGCGGTACTGTGTTTGTGGTGGAGAGGGAGAAACACTTGGATCAGATGGATGAACTGTTGTAGGAGGGTCGTTTTTATTAGTTCAATACAGAGAGGGACTGGCTATACTATATAGTTTTACAGTTTAATGTGCTATAAAAGGAACAAGACATGCTGGACTCTAGTCTCATCAATTACAATAATATTCAACTAAGGACTACATTTAATTCTTACACTATGAGGTTCAGACTACTGCTGCTTTTCTGGTCTAAACCAGTCCCTGATTACAGGGGAGCAATGACACCATGTTTCCTCTCTCTTCTCTAACCACCATGTTTCCTCTCTCTCCTCTCTTCTCTAACCACCATGTTTCCTGTCTCCTCTCTTCTCTAACCACCATGTTTCCTGTCTCCTCTCTTCTCTAACCACCATGTTTCCTCTCCCTCCTCTCTTCTCTAACCACCATGTTTCCTGTCTCCTCTCTTCTCTAACCACCATGTTTCCTGTCTCCTCTCTTCTCTAACCACCATGTTTCCTCTCCCTCCTCTTCTCTAACCACCATGTTTCCTGTCTCCTCTCTTCTCTAACCACCATGTTTCCTCTCCCTCCTCTCTTCTCTAACCACCATGTTTCCTGTCTCCTCTCTTCTCTAACCACCATGTTTCCTGTCTCCTCTCTTCTCTAACCACCATGTTTCCTCTCCCTCCTCTCTTCTCTAACCACCATGTTTCCTGTCTCCTCTCTTCTCTAACCACCATGTTTCCTGTCTCCTCTCTTCTCTAACCACCATGTTTCCTCTCTCTCCTCTCTTCTCTAACCACCATGTTTCCTCTCTCTCCTCTCTTCTCTAACCACCATGTTTCCTCTCCCTCCTCTTCTCTAACCACCATGTTTCCTGTCTCCTCTCTCTCTAACCACCATGTTTCCTCTCTCTCCTCTCTTCTCTAACCACCATGTTTCCTCTCTCTCCTCTCTTCTCTAACCACCATGTTTCCTCTCTCTCTCTCTTCTCTAACCACCATGTTTTCCTGTCTCCTCTCTTCTTTAACCCACCATGTTTCCTGTCTCCTTCTTCTTTAAAACCACCATGTTTTCCTCTCTCTCCTCTCTTCTCTAACCACCATTTTTTCCTCTCTCTCCTCTCTTCTCTAACCACCATTTTTCCTCTCTCTCCTCTCTTCTCAAACCAAACCTTTGTTTCCTCTCTTCTCTAACCCCACCATGTTTCCTCTCTCTCTCCTCTCTTCTCTAACCCATGTTTCCTCTCTCTCCTCTCTTCTCAAAACCACCATGTTTCCTGTCTCCCCCTCTTCTCTAACCACCATGTTTTCCCCCTTTTTTCTCTAACCACCATGTTTTCCCCTTTTCTCCTTTTCTTCTCTAACCACCATGTTTCCTGTCTCCTCTTTTCTTTTAACCACCATGTTTCCTCTCTCTCCTCTCTTCTCTAACCACCATTTTTTCCCTCTCTCCCTCTCTTCTCTAACCACCATGTTTCCTCTCTCTCCTCTCTTCTCTAACCACCATGTTTCCTCTCTCTCCTCTCTTCTCTAACCACCATGTTTCCTGTCTCCTCTCTTCTCTAACCACCATGTTTCCTCTCTCTCTCTCTCTTCTCTAACCACCATGTTTTCCCCCTCTCTTCTCTAACCACCATGTTTTCTCTCTCTCCTCTCTTCTCTAACCACCATGTTTCCCCCTCTCTTCTCTAACCACCATGTTTCCCCTCTCTTCTCTAATCACCATGTTTCCTATCTCTTCTCCTCCAGGTGAGATCCCCTCCAGGACGCTGGCTGAGCATGCTACAGAGAGGGCCAGGGAGACGGCTCTGGCAGCTAAAGAGAGAGCCAAAGACCTGGCCTCACAGGCTCACAAGAAACAACAGTATGTCTGAGCTGCCAGTGTAGGGTGAAGTTGTCCCTAGATGGTTAGGATTGGGGCAGGGGAAGCTGATCCTTGATCTCTTCCTAGAAACTTCAACCCGGAGCGCGAGGAAGTAGACACTGGCCCCTGTCAGTCCGCCTGGATTCAAAGACCATTTCAAAATAATTTCAAGTACTTTATCTGGGAACGATTGAGCATGCCTGGCTGGCACAATGGAACCGCTCCAGGCAGGCTCAAGCAAATGCAAAAAGTATTTCAAAAATGTTGAATAGTATTTGAACCCAGGTCTGGTTGTCCCTAACTGCTGGTCCAGAGTCAGATCTTATCCACCCCCCTAATGGTTAGATTAGATCTGATCCTAGATCTGTGGTTAGGGTTGCAAAATTCCGGTAACAAAAATTACCAGATTTTCCAGAAATTCCAGTTGAAAGATTCCCGGACCAGGAGGGAATAAGCAGGAAGTCCGGAATCCTCCAACCAGGATTTATGGAAAACCTGGGAATTTTGTAACTCTTAGGTGTTGACCGTGATCCGAGGGATGTACCATTACAGTTAAAGCCAATTTATGCTGGTGTTGAAAATGTGGTCGGAAGGTATGGAGGGCATGCAGAGGCCAAATCAAGCTCCCTACCGCATCGCTGAGCACATCCCAAAACAATGCAGAGGGCTCCGTTTCGTTCCGCATCGACGGTAGGTGAGGGGCGGGAGGTCCTGCATAAACACAAACTCACTTCCTTGACAACTTCCTTCACAACAGGTCTGCAAGTTTGCTCAGACTTCTGCAGAGGCAGCATCACAGTAAATAATGTACACAGTAAATAATGTACTGCACCCTTGACCAGGGTGGTACCCTATTCCCTATATAGTGCACTACTGTTGACCAGGGTGGTACCCTATTCCCTATATAGTGCACTACTGTTGACCAGGGTGGTACCCTATTCCCTATATAGTGCACTACTGTTGACCAGGGTGGTACCCTATTCCCTATATAGTGCACTACTGTTGACCAGGGTGGTACCCTATTCCCTATATAGTGCACTACTGTTGACCAGGGTGGTACCCTATTCCCTATATAGTGCACTACTGTTGACCAGGGTGGTACCCTATTCCCTATATAGTGCACTACTGTTGACCAGGGTGGTACCCTATTCCCTATATAGTGCACTACTGTTGACCAGGGTGGTACCCTATTCCCTATATAGTGCACTACTGTTGACCAGGGTGGTACCCTATTCCCTATATAGTGCACTACTGTTGACCAGGAAGCATTTCTCCTGTCTGTTGTAGTTCCTTTCCTTCATATGGTCTGTTTCTCACGCTGTAGATGAGACTGGCTACATATCTTCATTTACATATCTTCATTTACGTTTGTGTTTTAGGCTTACGATTGTAAATATTTATCTTTTCAAAATCAAATCTTTGTTTCTGCTAGCTAGACTGTTTTTTAAAAAGCCAATCTCAAAAAAATCTCACTCAATCTTGATTCATCACTCTCCGCTACAGGTTCATTGACTATTACATTTTTGATTCAGAATGATAATTCATTGCTTCAAATTGAAGTTGTTACCGGTGTGATGAGGGGTCCACGTTATCTGCAGTCGTTGCTTGAAAGTGATCGGGCTAAGAGCGAGGGCTGCTGCTTGGCTCTCTCTTGACATTGTGAAAAGAAAGGATTGCGGTGGATATCGATGTCTGTATGCTTGAAGAAATTAGCTCCAGAAAGTGAGTCAAATTGTAAATTACACTTAAAGACATGCTCCGGAACTTTGACGACTACTAAGTATTTTTTTAAACCTCCAGCTTTGGGCTGGATGTGTCAATGTTATGTTCGTTTAAGCAATAAGGCACGAGGGGGTGTGGTATATTTCACGAAGCAACGCGGAGTACCTGGATACAGCCCTTAGCCGTGGTATATTGGCCATATACCACAAACCCCCGAGGTGCCTTATTGCTATTATAAACTGGTTACCAACGTAATTAGAGCACAGTAAAAATTAATGTTTTGTCATATCCGTGGTATACAGTCTGATATACCATGGCTGTCAGCCAATCAGCATTCAGGGCTCGAACCACCCAGTTTATAAACATGCAGAATTACTATCTTACCTCAATTAGCCAATAACATCCCTCGGTTGAAAGCGAGTTTTTCTAACCCTTTTCCCCCACGTGGGCCCGATTCCACGTAGAGCGAGAGAGGGAGCACATCTGTGAAGTAGTACACGATATTCGGGGACCACTTTTGGCTCATGAGCGCTACTTTCAGAACTACTGGCTATTAAGTATACAAAAGTACCTGAGAATCTCTTTTAAAGAAATGAATGAATACAAATTATGAATGTGCTATGTTTGAGCAACAGTATCGACTTATTGATGAATACCAATAAATATTTTCTGTTTCTGGATAATTTTTTCATTGTCTTCCTCAAATAATCTCATAGTACCTTGTGTCTGCCTTGAATAACAAGGAAGTGATTATTAAATATTACAAATATTTATTAATACAAAAAGGCATACATATCCTAGTATAAAAATGCTACATAATTGTACTGGAACAAAGAGACCGTTGACTGCATACAGACATTTTCTTGTTGCAATGACATGGTCATAAGGCATCTTGTCAGGTATTAACATCCTGAAGGAAGGCAGGCAGTCAGCGCACCTCATTGGGTAACATCCTGAAGGAAGGCAGGCAGTCAGCGCACCTCATTGGGTAACATCCTGAAGGAAGGCAGGCAGTCAGCGCACCTCATTGGGTAACGTCCGGAAGGAAGGCAGTGCACCTCATTGGGTAACATCCTGAAGGAAGGCAGTGCACCTCATTGGGTAACATCCTGAAGGAAGGCAGCGCACCTCATTGGGTAACATCCTGAAGGAAGGCAGTGCACCTCATTGGGTAACGTCCTGAAGGAAGGCAGTGCACCTCATTGGGTAACGTCCTGAAGGAAGGCAGTGCACCTCATTGGGTAACGTCCGGAAGGAAGGCAGTGCACCTCATTGGGTAACGTCCTGAAGGAAGGCAGTGCACCTCATTGGGTAACATCCTGAAGGAAGGCAGCGCACCTCATTGGGTAACGTCCTGAAGGAAGGCAGGCAGTCAGTCACCTCAGAACAGGGTTTCCCAAACTCGGTCCTTGGGACCCCCAAGGGGTGCATGTTTTGGTTTTTGCCCTAACTCTACACAGCCGATTTCAAATAATCATCAAGCTTTGATCATTTGAATCAGCTGTGTAGTGTTAGGGCAAAACCCAAAACGGGTCCCCCAGGACAGAGTTTGGGAAACGCTGCCTCAGAGGATCAAATCCACAGTGAGTTTAGTTTAGTAGACGGGTACTTGTAAGACGGTTGCATTAGTCTCACAGAGCCATCCTTCCAAATCTAGTCTCATTGGCTAAGCCTGGCGTCCAAGGCTACAGTTGCATACATGTAAATGGCGAGTACTGTATTACATATCAAAATAATGCTTTTTGCCCAAACATTTACTACTTTCCTAACAACATGGTGGCATCTATTGCATGTATAATGAAGATATACTGAGTAATGCACTTGAAAATCCAGATAGAATGGATTCAAGTTCATACAAGCAATTGTCAATCAAAATATTTGCAAAATATGCATATTTAAAATGATGGACACTTAGCAAAGACTGCATGAGTTCCATAATGTCCACGTCAGAAACACCAAAACTAATAAAACTGTTAAACTCATGAAGCGCTGTTACAATATGGCCAGGTAGCTAAAAGATGATGGTGGTTTCCTATACACAGACTTATACATCATGATGGTGGTTTCCCGGACACCGATTTAGACCGGATCAAATCTGATTGCGGCTTTTAAAAGGCAATTTTCGATTGAGACGGCATTTGTAGCGTGAATGGGATCTCCACGGAGGCAGGAACATTGCCTTTAAAAACGGCAACGCCTATAAACCGTGATCGAATTCAATCCCTGCCTCAGCCTTTGATTAAAAACAAACTCAAAAAGGAACATCTTATCAAATAATATTTAGTCCAGGACTACAGTAATGTTAATCTGTGTCCGGGAAAGTTCAGGGGTGCGTTTCCTAAAAACATAAAGATCAGCTCAAGTACAATGGATAAAAAAAAAAAAAAGATCTTAATACTAGAGATAATATTACCCACAACCCTTAGAAGATATAAGGTGTGCATCCCAAATGGCACTGTATTCCCTACATCAGGGGTTCTCGAAGGGTCCGTACTGCAGGGGTCAGCAGCCAGATCGCAAAAAATACATGACATTTCTTTAATGAATATTACTGACAACAGATTAAATTAATTTTGTCCAAGGTGATCCATGGAATAATTTTAGAGATTGTAATATGTACCATTTCTGTTCTTCAGAGCCAATTTATGCTGGATCGGAAAACGTGGTCGGTCGGCTCCATACGGAGGGTGTGACGCCACGCATTGCCCAAGTCCTAGCAGAACTACTTCTACGCTGTTTTTGATCTCACTCCAGTTCTGATCCCTGACCCCTGCCCTAGATAGTGCACTGCTTTTGACCAGGGCCCTTTTATGGATCCTGGTCAAAAGTAGTGCACTATAAAAGGGAATTATTGTGCCGTTTGGGACGCAAAGAATAAGTGCTTTGTGGATGGTTTTGTGCAACAGAACAAAACAAAAAAAATAAATGAAATCAAATACAGGACAGACTCTGTCACAATAACAGATCAGACGGACAGTCACAATAATAATTCAGACAGACCACAGACTTGATAAGTGCTGTACATCCTGACAATACATTAGAATATTCCTGAAGCTTGTTAGCTGGAGAGAAAGGCTGAAGAGTTTAATGCAGCGTTTTCCAATATAGAGATATTGTATTAAAATAAGTCCTTAGAGCAACAGATTGTAGCACCGTTCTGTGAACTTGTTACGGGTCCCAAAAGTGGTTCCCTACATCAGGGATCATCCACTAGATTCAGCCGCGGGTCAATGTTTTTCTTCAGTGGATGGTCAAGGGGGCCGGAACATAATTACAAATAATTTGTAGACTGCAAATTGATTTGCTGGTGTTTTTTTTACAGTCTTACGTACAACGATAAATAAATACAGTCACCTGCGGGCCGGCCACCAGTTGGGAAACCCTTCCCTATGTAGTGCCCTACATTATTGGACCCTGGTCAAAACTAGTGCACTATAAAGGGCATAGGGTGCCATTTGGGACTCAGCCTGGTGTCTTCATAATGCTTGTGGACAGTTGAGTTCAGCAGCTTGAGATATCTATTCAACCACCTTTACCTGGGTCGTATTCATTAGGGCACACCGTAGCAAAACGTTTTGCAACGGAAAACATACCAGAGCTTTTTCTCATTGGACAGGTAGTCTCTCCCTGTTTCAGTATGTTTTCTAATGAATACTACCCTGTTTCTATTTGAAGTAAATTAGACTGTGGTAAGAAACGTATCCTGAATCTCAATGATTCTTCCTGCCATTCATACGGTGGCCTAACGGTTATAGCGTGGGCCAGTAACCCAAAGGTTGCTAGTTCGAATCTCCAAGCTGACAAGGTGAAACATTTGGCGATGTGCCCTTGCGCAAGGCACATAACCCTAATGATAATGGCTGACCCTGGCTGTGTCTCAGGGGGAGTTGGGATATGGAGAAGGAAAACATTTCCCATTCAGACGTGCGTTATTAATCCACACTTGTACATGTGTGAAATAGGGCAAATATCAGCACACACCAAATTATTATTATTAGGTTGGACGGTCCTGGAGTGCTGGCTGTTTCAGGGGTCAGACTGAGAAAAAAAACCTGCTCAGAAATGTGAGCAAAATATATATTTTAAAAACAGATTCAGCTCACAGTAAGTAAGAGCTAAGTGAGAAGTTAGATCAAATAAAATAAAACATTTAAAAAAGGGATCACTGCCCCGGCTGTGTGTAGGCCAGCTGTCCTGTTGTTCCTCATCCTTTTCTGTCTTCGTCTTATCTGGAATGTTTTTCCTCCTGTGTGTCCCCATTGTCTTACGTCAGGCGGCGTCATTCCAACGCGGCGCTCGTCCCTCAACCGACAGCGCAGGTGGAATCGTCGCACTATCTGACGTAAGACAATGGTGTGTCCCTCCAGGGGTGTATCTCGTATACGGCGGTAGGTAGGTCATAGCCCGGCCCGGTCGAAGCAGCTGGAGTAACAGTGATCTATGCCTGCGTGGGGGACCGTCCCCAGACCATCAGAGTCCAGACACTCAAACGCCATACTCTCCACATCAACCTCCACGTCTTCTGCAATAACAAAAACAACAACACATCGGGTTAGCAAAAGACAATCTACAATCTGTCAAATACGGCTGAAAAAAAAAAAAGCAAATCTGTGCAATTGCAGACTCAAATGTCCTTTAGTTGTACTGAAGACACCGGATTTCTCTGATATGAAACACTAAGCTTACTAACTTTTAACATGAACACTTCAGTCAACAAAACCTGACGTTGTAGACCTACATCCCTAACGCTTGAAAATGGAGATGGATCTAAAGATGTTGAAGAGCTGTGACTGACACCATCTCATATCCCCGATAAAGAGAGTGTGAAAACACTTCCGTCAACAAAACCTGAAGGATGTACTCCCTAACAAATGGATATCCCCAGGCGTCGTTTTGAGAGAGTTACTAAACATGGGTAAGAGAGCTGTGATTGGAGAAGAGAGCTGTGATTGGAGAAGAGAGCTGTGATTAGAGAAGAGAGCTGTGATTGGAGAAGAGAGCTGTGATTAGAGAAGAGAGCTGTGATTGGAGAAGAGAGCTGTGATTGAGAGACTCACCTCTGTCAGAGTCAGACCTCTCTGAAGAGGACATGGCTGCTGATCCCAGACTGTCGTTCCTCATCCTCTCTGAGACCACGCCTGTTCCTCCCAGACCCCCTAGGCCTCCCTGTAGCTGCTCCAGTCTCACCCTCAGCTCTCTCTGCTCCCAACGCAGACGACCCTTCAACTGCTCCGCACGTTCATCCTGCTCCTGCAGCTTCTAATGGGGGCGAAGGAGAGAGAGATGAGTACAGTTATACACAGAGAGAGAGAGAGTGCGAGAGAGAGAGATGAGTACAGTTATATATATATATATAGAGAGAGCTCAAAGACATTGCTCCTGCATTTTTCAGCATGTTTTTACAAAACATATAGATTTAGAGTTAGATAAACTTTGATTTTTTTGGCAGGGACATATACAGGATGCTACCCTCCACAACATAACCTTCATTCCAAACCGAAACTCCAAACCTACAACCTGATTTTGGATGGAATTACCTGGAAGGCTTTCTACTACCAAGGATGACTATTCCCAAACTATACAGCAAATGCTCTGGCAAACAAACAGAAACCTGAAAACACCATCCAACCTGGAACTGAGTGAGTAATGTTTAGTCTGAAGCTATTTTTTACTTTCAAAACCAAGAAGAAAAATACATTACAATGATATATTTTACTTTATAAGGACTGAATGCTAAGGCTACCAAGCTTGCTAGTACAAAGAGATACAACTTCAATTAGCACTGACGTGGGAAGTGAGGTGTCAAACCCCTTGAGGCCAACAATGGCAGAAGAGTCGCCAACCAAATGGAGAAGCCTTAGAAGCACCCTCCCGCTGTTCAGAGGTCATTAAAATACAGTACCCTCTGTATGTAAAGAATGATAAGACACGAAAAGAGTACAAAATGAAGCTCCTGATGGGAAATCAGGAGACACTTCTTGCTGACTTTTATAAAAATGGGAACATAAGCAACCTTATCTTCCACACAGACCATCCCCTGGCATGGCACAGTGCTATACTAGCACACTACCCCTCTGTTAAGAGGGGGGGTGTTAGCGATGGGTGGAAACTCAGGATACTAGACATCGAGGACTCTGAGTCGTCTAATATAAATCTCTATAAATCTGGAACAGTATTGGTACAGGGCAACCCCAAACAGTTCCAGCTGGACTTTCACCTAATCAAAGAAATAGCTCAGCAGGAGAAGCTCTCCCTTGAGAAAGATACCCCCACCCCGAGCGGGTCAGACCAGACCTCTTCATTACATAACCCCACAGAGCAACCCCAAGCGGAAAGTCAACTTCCCAGCACAGAGCACTACTCCCTCATTGAAATGAAGGATAAATTCACCCAGCTGGAGGTAAGGCAAGTGGAGCTGGAACAGCAGGTGAACAAACTCCAGTCCAGCACAACACCACCCCCTTAACTAGAGCTGGAGGTGGAGAGAGACATATCTGCACTCTGGACTGTGGTGAGACAACATAAAAATGGAGAAAGAGCAGGAGAAGAACCGAGCACTTCAACATCAACATCCCCACCTGGTGCCGACGAAGATGGCGGCCTCGCGACTAGCTCTTAGGAAACTTTGCAGTATTTAGTTTTTTTTATGTATTATTTTTTTACATTATTAACTCAGAAAGTGTTTGGCATCATTACATACAGCCGGGAAAAAATATTGGATATCAGAGCGGCGGTAACTCGCCAGCATTACGACCAGGAATACGACTTTCCCGAAGCGGATCCTTTGATCTGAACTGATTCCAGCGGCTGACCCAAAACATCGCCGGCGGAGGAGAGGCACTCGGAGCGGCCTGCTGGTCCGACTTAGGAGGCGCGCACACCACCCACCGCTTCCAAGTATTCTACTCGCTAATCTTCACTCTTTGATTAACAAAGTCGACGAACTACGGGCAAGGATTTCTTTCCAGAGAGACATCAGGGCCTGTTACATCCTCTGTTTCACGGAAACATGGCTCTCTTGGGATATTCTGTCTGAATCGGTCCAGCCAGATGGGTTCTCAGTTCATCGCGCAGACAGGAATAAATACAGTTTAAATAAAGTCGGAAGTTTACATACACTTAGGTTGGAGTCATTAAAACTCGTTTTTCAACCACTCCACAAATTTCTTGTTAACAAACTATCATTTTGGCAAGTCGGTTAGGGCATCTACTTTGTGCATGACACAAGTCATTTTTCCAACAATTGTTTACAGACAAATTATTTCACTTATAATTCACTGTATCACAATTCCAGTGGGTCAGAAGTTTACATACACTAAGTTGACTGTGCCTTTAAACAGCTTGGAAAATTCCAGGAAATGATGTCATGGCTTTAGAAGCTTCTGATAGCCTAATTGATATAATTTGAGTCAATTGGAGGTGTACCTGTGGATATATTTCAAGGCCTACCTTCAAACTCAGTGCCTTTTTGCTTGACATTAAGGGAAAATCAAAAGAAATCAGGCAAGACCTCAGAAAAAAATTGTAGACCTCCACAAGTCTGGTTCATCCTTGGGAGCAATTTCCAAACGCCTGAAGGTACCACGTTCATCTGTACAAACAATAGTACGCAAGTATAAACACAATGGGACCACGCAGCCGTCATACCGCTCAGGAAGGAGACGCGTTCTGTCACCTAGAGATGAATGTCCTTTGTGCGAAAAGTGCAAATCAATCCCAGAACAACAGCAAAGGACCTTGTGAAGATGCTGGAGGAAACAGGTACAAAAGTATCTATATCCACAGTAAAACAAGTCCTATATCGACATAACCTGAAAGACCGCTCAGCAAGGAAGAAGCCACTGCTCCAAAACCGTCATAAAAAAGCCAGACTACGGTTTGCAACTGCACATGGGGACAAAGATCGTACTTTTGGAGAAATGTCCTCTGGTCTGATGAAACAAAAATAGAACTGTTTGGCCATCATGACCATCGTTATGTTTGGAGGAAAAAGGGGGTTGCTTGCAAGCCGAAGAACACCATCCCAACCGTGAAGCACGGGGGTGGCAGCATCATGCTGTGGGGGTGCTTTCCTGCAGGAGGGACTGGTGCACTTAACAAAATAGATGGCATTATGAGGAAGGACATTTATGTGGATATATTGAAGCAACATCTCAAGACATCAGTCAGGAAGTTAAAGCTTGGTCACAAATGGGTCTTCCAAATGGACAATGACCCCAAGCATACTTCCAAAGTTATGGCTTAAGGACAACAAAGTCAAGGTATTGGAGTGGCCATCACAAAGCCCTGACCTCAATCCTATAGAAAATGTGTGGGCAGAACTGAAAAAGCGTATGCGAGTAAGGAGGCCTACAAACCTGATTCCGTTACACCAGCTCTGTCAGGAGGAATGGGCCAAAATTCACCCAACTTATTGTGGGAAGCTTGTGGAAGGCTACCTGAAACGTTTGACCCAAGTTAAACAATTTAAAGGCAGTGCTACCAAATACTAATTGAGTGTATGTAAACTTCTGACCCACTGGGAATGTGATGAAAGAAATAAAAGCTGAAATAAATCATTCTCTCTACTATTATTCTGACATTTCACATTCTTAAAATAAAGTGGTGATCCTAACTGACTTAAGACAGGGAATTTTTACTAGGATTAAATGTCAGGAATTGTGAAAAACTGAGTTTAAATGTATTTGGCTAAGGTGTATGTAAACTTTCGACTTCAACTGTATCTCTCCGGGAAGCAGAAGGGCGGAGGTGTGTTTTTCATGATTGGTGTAATTGTAGTAACATAGAGGAACTCGAGTCCTTCTGTTCACCCGACCTAGAATACCTCACAATCAAATGCCGACCGTATTATCTCCCAAGAGAATTCTCTCTGGTTATAGTCCCGGCCGTGTATATCCCCCCTCAAGCCGATACCACGACGGCCCACAAAGAACTACACTGGACTTTATGCAAACTGGAAACCACATATCCTGAGGCTGCATTTATTGTAGCCGGGGATTTTAACAAAGCAAATTTGAGGACTAGGCTGCCGAAGTTCTATCAACATATTGACTGTTGTACTCGCGTTGCTAAAATCCTTGACCATTGCTATTCGATGTTCCGGGATGGTTATAAGGCCCTCCCCCGCCCTCCTTTCGGCAAATCTGACCACGACTCCATTTTGCTTCTCCCTTCCTATAGGCAGAAACTCAAACAGGAAGTACCCGTGCTAAGGACTATTCAACGCTGGTCTGACCAATCGGAATCCACGCTTCAAGATTGTTTTGATCACGCGGACTGGGATATGTTCCGGGTAGCTTCCGAAAATAATTTAGACATATGCACTGAAACAGTGACTGAGTTTATCAGGAAGTGTATAGGTGATGTTGTGCCCACTGTGACTATTAAAACCTACCCTGAAATGATGTTTCTATGGTATAATGATGTCATGCTAACCAGAAACCGTGGATAGAACCGTGGCAGCATTCGCGCAAATCTGAAAGCGCGAACCACCGCATTCAACCATGGCAAGGTGACTGGGAATATGGCAGAATACAAACAGTGTAGCTACTCACTCCGCAAGGCAATTAAACTGGCAAAACATCAGTATAGAGACAAAGTGTAGTCGCAATTCAACGGCTCAGACACGAGACGTATGTGGCAGTGTCTACAGACAATCACGGACTACAAAAAGAAAATCAGCCACGTCGCCGTGACAGACGTCTTGCTTCCAGACAAGCTAAACACCTTCTTCGCCCGCTTTGAGGATAACACAGTGCCACTGACGAGGCCCACTACCAAGGACTGTGGCCCCTCCTTCTCCATGGCCGACGTGATTAAGACATTTAAGCATGTTAACCCCCGCAAAGCTGCCGGCCCAGACGGCATCCCTAGCCGCGTCCTCAGAGCATGCGCAGACCAGCTGGCTGGTTTGTTCATGGACATATTCAATCTCTCCCTTTCCCAGTCTGCTGTTCCCACATGCTTCAAGAGGGCCACCATTGTTCCTGTACCCAAGAAAGCAAAGGTAACTGAACTAAATTACTATCGCCCTGTAGCACTCACTTCTGTCATCATGAAGTGCTTTGAGAGGCTAGTTAAGGATCATATCACCTCTACCTTACCTGACACCCTAGACCCACTTCAATTTGCTTACCACCCCAATAGATCCACAGACGATGCAATCGCCATCACACTGCACACTGCACACAAGAGAAATACCTATGTAAGAATGCTGTTCATTGACTATAGCTCAGCATTCAACACCATAGTACCCTCCA